CTCTTTTCCATGCCCCCTTCACCTCCAAATGTTCCCTGATGCTTTCCTTTAATCACGAACACCTATTTCTTTCCTCACTTTAAAACATTTTTTTCTGGTATATCTAATTGTGATTTCTTTGACATTCTTCAAGTACTATTACATGCTATATTATATATCATCAATGTACTAGTGTTATTTACATAACATCTATACTACTTCCAAAAGTTACGTGAAATGAAAATTTTTTGACTACCTAAAATGCCCCTAAAAATATACATAAAATAACACTATTCTTTTTAGTGTGTTGTATGGTCTTCCTAAGTTTTAATTTACTCCTCTTTAAGTTTTAAACAATATTTATTATATTTAAATAGCTGAGGCCATTCCCAACCCTTAAATCTCCATTTTTATCTCATTTAATCATTTTACTTCAAACTACTAAGTTTATCCTATTTATACCCACCTCATTGTTATTAAAGCCACTCTGTTTATATTCACTAATTATAAATTAAATTCATTCACTTTTATTTCAACCTATTATATTGGTAATGATCAAAATTTTGTTACGGTATATTATTTCATTACGAAAATATTTTAAAAGCAGAATAAAAATTAATAATATTTTTAAAATATTAGGGTATTTCCAATCCTTACTCAAATTTAAAATTGAGTAAAATTAGATTAAAAACAAGCTCGAGTTTTTTACTCAAATCTATACCAAATGAAGGGAGACTCAATTTTTTATTCAAATCAAGAAGACTCAAATATTTACTTAAATATTCAATAGTTAGATTTCACTTTTTTAAAAGATCTAATGATCATATTTTACATTCCTTTAAATTTGAGTTTGTCCAACTTTAAATTCAAGTTTGCCCTATTTTAAATTTGAGTTTATCTATTAGAATGTCTTGTATCAAATCAATTTTTTTACTCAAATCTTAACTCAAATTATAATAAACATTTGAGTCAACATTAGAGATGTTTTTCGTCAAATTATAGTAAAATATCTTAAAACATCTCAAAATATTCTAAAGACATTGGTGAAAATACTTCGAAATGGTATAGATCACCTTGGAAGATTGAAATTTTACTTCGATTATTATTTTTGTTTTGGTTTCTTTGACATATATTTAATAGTTTAACTAAATGAGTATAAATGGGATGAATTTAATGATTAATAGGGTGGGTATAATATGATAAACTTAGTAATTTAAAATAAAATGATTAAATAGGATGAAAAAAAATATTTAAGGAATAAGAATAAATCCTACCCTATTTAAATTGTCATGTCACATCATTTGCCCAACTTACAAATAAATCCACTTTCTAAACTATCCTCCTAGCTCTTTTTCTTTCTTTACAAATTTCTATTCCACTCCCATTCTCTTCTCAAGTGTTCCCTGTTGCTTTCTCTCTCCCGTGAGCACCTGTTTCTTTCCTCACCTTAAACCATCTTTTTGGGTATGTCGAATTGTGATTCATGTAACATTCTTAAAGTACTTTTTACTTATTATATTTATATATTCATGCATGTACCTTGGTGAGAAATTCTTTGTTTGTTTTTGTGGGTGTCTCCCAATGCCAATGAATATAGCCTCTTCAATGCTTGCATCACTATACGGACATAGGACTTTATATTTTTTTCAAGCAAATTCACTAAAGTATTTATATTAAATTGTGTGATGCATTAATTATTCGACGATATATGTCCGTCAATTTTTGAATGTGAAAATTGGATATTCATTATATTCTTTTTGATTCATGTACAGCTTGGAGTAATATTCAATTCATGGTTTACTATTTTTTTCGTGGTCAAATGATTATTCAACATCTCAACAGTGAAAGGATCATAATTCAAGTAATGATCACTTCATTGACTATCGTGCCTTTTTGTATTTAATGGGCATCATCAATTACACATATATATTGTACAATTTTCAGCTTTTAGCATACAATCATATCACCCAATAACAGGTTTTTTTTTTTTTGATCGGACCCAATAACAGTTTACTACTTGGGACCAATGCACATAGCATACTGTTGTCCTATAACTAAAAGGTTAAGCAAATAAGTTTGTCTTCTTGTCATCCAAAAATTTATCTCTTAAAAAAAAAAAAATCTTTCATAGAATTATAAATTATTTTTGTTGGTCAAATTTTATATTTGATGTTAAATTACTTGTATATATTAATTTATGTTAATTACACATGTAAACAATAATATAAAATAATATTTTGTAACGTATATGTTCATCAACTAATACTTTTAAAGTGACAAGTGTCACAAGATTTTTGTTATTTATCTAGTTATGTGTCTATTTAATAATTAAAGTTGTATAATATTGCATTTGAATTTGTGTAGGGAATGAGAATTAGGTTGTTGAATCTGCTAATTGTTATGGAGGTGGAGATTTGCTCTCTTTCGTGAAATTTTGTGTTTCTTTGGTGTCATTTGGTTATTTGAGATTGTGGTTTGTAATATGATTGTTGGTGGAATTTAGTTGTTTTGAATTCCATCGATTCTTTTTTTGATATGTGTTTGTAACTCTAAATATCACATTTCTTTTTGTGATAGTTTGTTAGCTTCATAATTAGTTATTTAACATTTTTAAACAAACAAATTAAACCAGTCTAATGGGTGAGGTTTTAAAAAGGTTATTGTATTAACCCTACTCTACCCAATTTGATTTGTTTAACTAAACGGATTAAAAGAGTCGTGTCGTGTACGTTTATTAAACTGTTCGTACTCGTGTGGATGTTTTTCACCCATTTATTTAAACGAGTCGTGTACGAATTTATTGTTTTTCACTTATCACCTATTTAATTTAACACTTAATGGTGGGGCGTGGTGAGTAGTGATGGTGGTGGTGGTGATGGTGACGGTGCGTGGCGGCGAGTAATGGTTGTAGTGGTGGGTGTGAGTTTTGGATGATAATATTGTTGTCGGCAATGAGTGGTGGTGGTGGTGGTGGTAGTGGCGGTGGTGGCGGCAATGAGAGCTAGTGGTTGAGTGTTGGTGGTGGTTATGGTGGCAGTGGTAGTTATGCTGGGCGGTGGTGGCAACGACGATGGTAATAGTGGGTGGGTGGCGGTGATAGTGGTGGTGGGAGGTGGCGAATGGTGGTGACGGTGAGATATGATTGTGGTAATAAATATTAAAATGAAATGATGATGGCTATAGTAAGAAATATTAGAATGAGATAATGATGAATATTTTTAAATAACATATTTTTTGTCAAGGGTTAATTTTTATAGACTTTTGGTCTTAAAAATGTTGAGGTTAGATCTAAAACCAAAAAAATCCCTGAATTTGTAGCTATATCAAACTAGCCAGATCTGCCCTTGTTTTCCTCGAGACTGATCCAATGGCCTTTTCATTTGGATAGTCGGGGCAAGCAGAGCGGCCAGAAATAGCAAACCTAGCAGATTACTGTGCCGTTAATGGAGGGAGAGAGAGAGAGAGAGATGCAGGTGTCATGAACTCCAACTGTCATCATCATCCTACGGTTGTGAACAATTTCAAGGGCCTATATGTTAAAGCCAAAGACAGGGAACCTTCTTAGTTGCTTTAGGGCTAATAGCAACTTGCACTCCAAAAGATAATTTTAATTTTAATTTGTACTCTTAAATTTAAAAATATTAATTTATACCTTAAAAAAATAAATTCGTATTGATGTGCACCTAGGGTTAACAGCCGTTTATTTTGTTGTTAAAAAATTTTGGACTAATTATAAATTACACCTTCAAAATTGAAATATTTCACATTTATGATTCAAAAAGAATTCTATTTATTAATGCTCGTTAAATAGTTCTCAATTGTATTGTATCGTAATATTTTTGTTTTGTGTTCAAGTCAATAAAAAAATATTTTTTAAATTTTAAAATTTTTTATAAAATACTTATTTTTTACCTACAGTATTTGTTAAATAACTATTTCTTTTGTCTACAACGTCTGTTAAATCATGTTATTCATATCTACACTAATTTGGTCGAACAATTAAAAGATTTGTGTCTAACTTTAGATAAAAAATAACTATTTAACGAGTATTGTAGGAAAAAAATTAGGTATTTTATAATTTAAAATTTTTTTAAATAGTATTAAATAAATTATCGTAAATGTGAAATATACAACACAATGCAATTGACTTGACATGAAAATATTTTTTGTGTTAAAAATATTTTTTTATTGACTCGAACAAGACACAAAAATGATACGACACGACACAAAATGACACAACACGAAAATATTATGATACGACACAATTATGAGGTATTTAATGAGTATTAATGAATGAAATTATTTTTGAATTATAAATGTAAAATATTTAAATTTTGGAGGTACAATTTGTAATTATTCCAAACTTTTGTAACGGCAAAATGAACAACAGTTAGTTCTAAGAGTACATTGATATGAATTTATGACTTTTACAGTATAAAATAATATTTTTAAATTTTAAGGCTACAAATTAAAATTCTGAGTGATTTTTTGGAGTGGAATTTAGAATTAGCCCTTTGCTTTATATGACCTTACCATGCAGACCCACAAGCACACAAGTCACAATCACATTGCTTTCCTTCATTTTCGCCTTGCATCCCTCCCCGCCATTTCTTCTTCCAAAAACCATGCAGCTCCTTCCAAACCCTAAAATTTTCTCACACAGAAAAACACAAACTTTTGATCAAAATGGTTCTGCTTTTTGGCCCCTGAAAGTTCCCCAGCTGTTGGCGCCATGGTTATGTAACAATCTCCTTTCTTGAGTCCCCAACACACCCTTTTATCATCTATTTCAATAAGGCACCGGTCATTCTACGCATTCATTTCTGAGTAGGCCGAATACCATATCGAACATAGTTGCTTAACGCTCAATGCGAGTTTGAAGCCTGATCACACGCAATGCCATTGTTGATCACAACTGGATCGACACAGTTTCAAACTTACATTACTTCAACATTCTGGCCTATCTTATTCGTGGATGAAGATCAACATAGACTAGAGTGGGACAGATTTGAATGATTGAAATGTGCGGAACCAGGATAAACACCTCTTGGGTTCCATACTTGTCATTGTTGCTAATCCTTTGTCTGGGTTTCTCGCCGTGTGTTTGGTGCGTAGATGGCGATGATTACAGCCAATCCAGTAACCCTACAGTGCTACCACTCGTCACATCACTTATATATAGCCAAATTTCAAATCTCACGAAGATATTTGGGAAGGATATCACCAAGAGTTTGGGTTTTTGCATCAAGGATGTGTGAGTAATGTGTATGGCTTCATGGTTTATTTCTTTGCAAATTCCTTATTGCGTTTCCTTAACATATGTACGTCTGATTTTCAGGGATGCTGATATGAACTTAGCATTCAATTTTTCAAACAATTTGGACTTCCTAAATAATTGTGTTAGACAAACAAAAGGTATTGCAGTTTACCATTGTCATTATGCAGTGATTTGCGTAGCGTCATGCAACAATTGATGGTTTTGAGTATTTTGGATAAAGCAAATTTAGATTTTGCTCTGCTTCATTTCTGTTTCTCTTCTTGTTCCTGATGGTGAATTGACTTAATAAACAGATGTCACCAAGCGAATATGTACAGCAGCAGAGATAAAGTTCTACTTTGATTCCTTTTTCTACAGAAAGGCGTCGGAGGCTCAAATCTTGAAACCCAACAGGAACTGTAATTTGACCTCGTGGGTTCCCGGATGTGAGCCAGGATGGGCTTGTAGTGTTGGTCCAAATGAGAAGGTTGATCTCAAAAACTCAACAAACATGCCTGACCGGACCCTTGATAGTCAACCTTGTTGTGAGGGTTTCTTTTGCCCTCGAGGTCTCACTTGTATGATAGGTGAGTGATTATTGGAATTAATCAAGCTTTATTTCTACATCTACGGAATGTCTTGTGGTTGGTGCTTCCAATCTCTATATGTTTTGGTATCCTCTTCATTGGTTAACAAAAAGTTACTTTGGGGGATAGCTGTTTGCAATTTATTTTCGGTGTATTGTATTTACTTGATAATTATATAATCCCTTCCTACTTAGAAGTAAATGTCAATTAAATTAAATCCTAAGTTAGGGAACTTCCAATCATGATACTTACTCTGATAACCATATTCAAAGGTTGTTCATACATAAATTGAAAACTCCACTCCCATGCATAAGACGTATTTGTTAACTTAAAATGTTATTTCTGAATCAAGCTTTTCTTGATAACTTACGTTGTTTTCTCTTACCTTGTCATTGAAGCTTGTCCATTAGGTTCTTATTGCCCACGTGCACATCTAAACAAAACAACAGGAATATGTGATCCGTAAGTTCATCTATAAGCTTGTACTTAATTTTCCCTTATTATCCCATCATTCACATGATTTTTATGATCTTTTAATACATATGTTGGTAGATAAAATTTGCAGGTACAACTATCAACTCCCTCCTGGTAAGCCAAATCATACTTGTGGCGGAGCTGATATTTGGGCCGATGCAATTAGTGGTAGCGAGCTATTCTGTTCAGCGGGATCATACTGTCCAACTACTACTACCAAAAAACCATGCAGTAGTGGGTATTGATCTTCTTCCCAAAACCCACCTCACTTTTCTGTATATTGACAATTTACAACTAATTGGTTATCATCTAATTCTATAATATTCCCTGATGTCATATATTTTCTTGTAATTTCAGACATTACTGCAGGAAGGGGACAACAGCTGAAAAAGGTAAATTCTAAAGATAGTAGACATCATGAATCACTCACTTCGTCCTATGGCAACACTAAGTTAACAGACTAAGGCATACAAAGAAATTTCTCTAGACATTTTATATGTTTAATCTATGTGCATAGAAGCTTTCTATAACTTTGGTAATTCCACTATTTCCTTGCATTTCCAAACACTTAAAATGATGCTGGGAATTTCATTACTGGGTAGTTAACCCCCAATAATATTCATACCCGGTGTATAGTTGATAAAAGCCCAGCAACAGATATTCAAAAAAAAAAAACCTCACGATTAAACTATCAAATACCTGCATTCAGTAAAAAGCCCATATCCTTCAAATTTCATGTAATAATTTCATACCATATGAAATAGACAGAGAATCAGCTGAAGATTACTCACCAAATCCAGTAACAAGTAATAACAACTAACCCAGCCCAAAACTAATGCAACCAAACAACTAAACTACTGCAATCAGCAACAACTACTGAGAACAGCACACAAAAATTTCACATTCAGCCACTATCCTCTCTCAAGTAATGATCAGACAGTGACCACCGCTAAAAGTTATTACAAGCTATTAGGAGTTTTTGGCATCGAAAATCGCTTCAAAACCCAAAACAGTCACATACAAGTAGCTACCATGGCCACCGAAGAACACTGGACTACTAGAGAAATTGGAGGATTGCCTGGATGCAGTCTGCAAATTGTATGATTGGCAGGGCCCGGACTAGTAAGATGATCTGGTGTATTCGGATGGTGGTGATATTTGAGCATAGGACTCTTTGCTTTGATACCATGTTAAACCACCAACTACTCTAAAAAGTTATTAGAGAGAGAGTGTAGTTTTAGTACTTATTTACTTCATGACATCATTAATTCCAATTCTCATAATTTTTGCACATCTATTGGAATCTTTAAAGGTACAACATCTTTTATCTATGTCAATCATTCATCTTGGTCCTATTCTTATTCTCTCGGTAACCTAGTAGAATTTTTTGTTCAATGCTATTTTTTTTTCAATTATGGTAAAGATATTTGTTTTGGCATTTAATCATTGGCTGACCATTTGCAGCATGCTTCAAGCTAAGTACTTGCAATCCAAATACAGAGAGTCAAAACATGCACGCATTTGGGTTCATGCTCATTGTAAGTTGCTGGTTGTCAGTTCGATTGCATAAGATCTTTGATAATTAGCTTTTTTGATGCTGGATGAAGCACTGTTTTACTGCTGTTTTTCAGCTTTATTTACTTTCTGCAATATAAAACCTCCCCGAGTCTGGAGATATGTGATTTTGTGAAGGGGAAAAGAGATATCGTTGGATGGTCTGTATGTGGATTGTGTATCGTGCATCTACCAATGATATCTTCTAATCTGTAGATGACGAGTCTTCCCCTCATATTCTGGGAAAATGAAATATTACATGACTTAACTAGTTTTTATCTGGCATGACTTAACTAATTTTTATCTGGTTATTTTTTCCTTCCTTTCTCCATGTAGAGTGTGAAAAAGCTACTCTATATGGACTGTGCAGTTTTTTGTTTGCACCTGCTGCAATAGTAACTTATATGTTCACTTTTCTATGTAGGGTGTTCTGAGTATCATGCTGATCATCTTTTATAATTGCTCAGACCAAGTCCTCACCACTCGATATGAAAGACTGGCCAAATCCAGGGAATCTGCAGCAAGAAGTGCACGGGAAACTGCACAAGCGAGAGAGAGGTGGAAATTGGCAAAAGATGTTGCCAAGAAGCGGGCTATGGGATTGCAACAACAGTTATCACGCACATTTTCACGGAAGACAAGTGTAAGGCAACCAGAAGAACTGAAGGTTCTGAATCAACCTAGACCTGGCAAAGATGATGCTTCACTACCCCCTCAGGTTCCTAGTAATTCAAGTACACCTCTTCAATCATCTAGTGCTCCAAAAGGACAGAAAAAGGAACCAAGCAACCTCACGAAAATGTTGCACTCCATTGATGATAACCCAGAGAGTAATGAGGGCTTCAATTTGGAAATTGGAAACAAGCATACAAAGAAGCAAATGCCAAAGGGTAAACAATTGCACACACGCAGCCAAATATTTAAATATGCATATGGTCAACTTGAAAAAGAGAAAGCAATGGAGCAGAAGAATCAGAACTTGACCTTCTCAGGAGTAATCTCAATGGCCACTGACACTGAGATCAGGACCAGGCCAAGGATTGAGGTTGCTTTCAAGGATCTCACTCTAACTCTTAAAGGGAAAAACAAACATTTGATGAGGTGTATTACTGGGAAAATTATGCCTGGTCGAATTTCTGCTGTCATGGGTCCATCAGGGGCTGGAAAAACAACATTTCTTTCTGCTGTGACAGGGAAGATAACCGGATGCACTATGTCAGGTTCAATTCTTATAAATGGAAAGTCTGGGTCGATTGACTCATACAAGAAAATTATCGGTTTTGTTCCACAAGATGATATTGTGCATGGAAACTTGACAGTTGAGGAGAACCTCCGGTTCAGTGCACGGTGCAGGTATTCTATGTTGTTTGTTATGCATGCTAAAAGCAGTTTATTACAAAACAACATCTCTTAGGTGAACTTTTAATGATCAAATGACTTATTACTGCCTCTCACTCTTCTGGATTTAAAAAATATCCAGTTTGCAGGATTCTAACATTTGATATTAGATCTATGAAATCAATTTCCGTAAAAAAAAAAAAAACACTTTCCCAACATTATATCTATAAAATCAGTTAAGCATATCTTTGATTTGTCTGCCTCTTGTATCTTCTCTGCCTTTTTTTTTTTTTAAATTTCTTGCTGATAAACTAAAAATTGTAAAAACTGAAAATCAAATTTCTTGCTGATAAACTAAAAATTGTAAAAACTGAAAATCAATCACCTTTTTTGAAGCTTCCATATAAGACTGAAGAAGATGAGCATTGACAAACTAAGCCGATCTGATCATGATTCATTTCTAAATCTCTCAGGGATGATTTAATAACAAAGTATAGTCGTGCAGAATGCACCCATTTACATAGTGCGTCTCAAAGTCCTAAGTCTACCAGCGTTTTTATTTGTGCTGTTCTACTATGTTGCAAACTTTGACCAATGACCACATCAATTGGTCGGTGACACTTTGAAGGAGCAGTGTTTTCCACTCTATCCTCTTTCCACTCATCAAGAATTTTTACCTGAAAGAACTATATGTCTCTTCACTGATTTTATATTCCACCTTCAGCTTATATTAAGCAAATTGAATATAAATAATGCAGTAAAAAATAATATGCATTGCATTTTAATGCATCTATTGTATTCAGTTTCTTGTGGAAATAGCCTCTCTGGGTATTGATGTGTACATCTGAGAACCTCCCCAGGTCTCGCAGCGGCACTGTCTTGTCATAGTTGGTTTCTTCCCCCTCAATGTTTCTACATTTTGGACCTAGCTGTGCATGAACAAACTATTCTACAAATACATGTTCAGCGATAGCTGCAGAGTTTCACTACTTTGTTGTTCCCCTAAAAGTACTTTCAATCATGTATTAACTTGTTATTGATTAATATTTATCTTCCTCCCACACGACGATTCAAATTTTAAAAACTTCTAAATTTCTTGACACGCTGTATTTCTCTATGTTACTTTGCACGCGTGCATATTTTGATATTTCTATGTGCTGATTGATATTGTGTTCATTTCCTACACTATGAAGACTAGCTGCGGACATGCCAAAACCTGATAAGGTTCTTGTTGTTGAAAGAGTTATTGAGTCCTTGGGACTGCGTACGGTGAGGGAGTCCCTGGTTGGGACAGTTGAAAAGCGAGGAATTTCTGGAGGCCAGAGAAAACGAGTAAATGTTGGGCTGGAAATGGTCATGGAACCTTCGTTGTTGATCTTGGATGAGCCCACATCTGGTTTGGACAGTTCATCTTCCAATTTACTTCTTAGAGCTCTTCGACGGGAAGCTCTTGAGGGGGTAAACATCTGCATGGTCGTTCACCAGCCAAGGTAGAGTCTAACAGTTATTATAATGCTCTACTTTTATTTTGTTGGAACCAAAATATCCAAAAGAGATGTACTCTCTTTGAAAAAAAGAAACTTAAACTTACATCCAGATTTATTTTGCCATTGGAGACACTGCAATGATGTACTTGTCTCTCCAAAAGTAGTTTTCTTTAGTCCTGTTGCCTTAGGAGTTCAAGTGAGTGCCGGGAAAATAGGCTTTCTCACAAGTGTAAATCAATGGAAGCAATATAAATAAAATAACAGAAAATAAATAAGCACACAAGATTTACGTGGTTCCCTCAAATAACTTGAGGTACATCTACGACGACCGGTAGGTCAGTTTCTTCCACTATCACCAAATTAGATTACAAAGTGGCCAAAAGGCATAAGCCTTACAAACACACCAAGGTATAAATCACAAGAGGAAAATACCTTACAAAATAAGTGAACCAAATCTCCAAGAACAAACCGCAAGAAACCCAAATATCAAGTGAAGAAATGTTACCCACTTGAAGAACAAATTTACAGATTTTTCTGGCACCAAAAAGGAGAAGAAGAAGGCTGAATTTTTGTTGAACCAAAGACTGCCGAAAAATATGTCTTCTTGCCAAACCAACAGAGAAAAAGATGAACCAAAGAAAAGGACAAAACTTATAGTCTTTGGTGGCTGTCAAATTCCTTTTAACTTGAAGACTCCAAACCAAGTCTTGGATAAGAGTCATACACGGGTAAGCCACCAAAAAATTAGCAAATTGATGAGTCCCACAAAGGAGGGAAACCCAACAATTCTCCCCCTCCCGACTTATGTGGAGGATTCGACCATTCCCGCCAAAAGTCGACACTTCTCATGCTTGTCCTTAGTCAATGCCTTAGTTAACATATCCGAAGTGTTATCATCAGTGTGAATTTTTTCAAGTTATAACAACTTATCATTCAAGACATCACGAATCCAATGATATCTAACATCAATATGTTTCGATCTCGAATGAAATGAAGAATTCTTGCTCAAGTGGATTGCACTCTGACTATCACAATGAAGGACATACCTTTCTTGTTTCAAACCCAACTCTTGTAAGAATTCCTTCAACCACAATAATTCTTTGCAAGCTTCAGTGATGGCGATGAACTCAGCTTCTGTGGTGGAGAGAGCAACACATTTCTGTAATCTTGATTGCCATGCCACTGCTCCCCCTGCAAAAGTAATCAAATAACCAGAAGTAGATTTTCGACTATCAACATCACCAGCCATATCAGAATCTGTGAACCCATCAAGAATAGGCTCGCCTTTACCAAAACACAAACTCATCTTTGAAGTGCCCTGAAGATACCTCATAATCCATTTCACTGTTGCCCAGTGTTCTTTCCCTGGATTAGACAAAAATCGACTGACAACCCCAACTGCGTGAGCAATATCCGGTCGAGTACAAACCATGGCGTACATCAAAGAACCAACTGCTGAAGCATAGGGAATTTTCTGCATCTCATTTCTCTTTTCATCACTTGTAGGACACTGACTTGAGCTTAGTTTGAAGTGGCCTGCAAGTGGACAATTAACAGGCTTTGCTTTGTCCATATTGAACCTCTCAAGAACCTTTTTAATATAATTCTCTTGAGATAACCAAATCAGCCCATGTGATCTGTCACGAACAATTCTCATCCCAAGAATTTGCTTTGCTGGACCCAAATCCTTCATGGCAAAGGACTTACTCAACTCTGACTTCAACTTGCTAATCTTACTCGTGTCTTGGCCCACAATAAGCATATCATCAACGTAAAGCAAGAGAATAATAAAATTACCATCTTTATATTTCTTCACAAACACACAATGGTCTGAAGTGGTTCTTGAATACCCATTCTCACTCATGAAAGCATCGAATTTTCTATACCACTGCCTCGGTGCTTGCTTCAATCCATACAAGCTCTTCTTCAATTTGCAAACTAACTGATCATTACCCTTATCTTTGAAGCCCTCAGGTTGCTCCATATAAATTTCCTCTTCTAAGTCACCATGCAAAAATGCGGTCTTCACATCAAGCTGCTCAACTTCTAAATTCATACTCGCAGCTATACCAAGCACAGTTCGAATGGAGGACATCTTCACAACTGGTGAGAAGATCTCATCAAAATCAACTCCCTTTCTCTGATCAAAACCTTTCACGACAAGTCGTGCCTTGAATCTCGGTTGAAAACTGTTCCCATCATTCTTTCGTCTGAAGACCCATTTATTTTTCAAAATTTTCTTCCCTTTAGGCGGCTTCACCAAATCATAGGTGTGATTCTCATGCAAAGACTTCATTTCCTCTTTCATTGCCTTGAACCATTCAGTTTTGTTCTCATGCTTCAAGACTTCTTGATAAGTCCCTGGCTCCCCCTGATCTGATATCATCACATACTCATTTGAAGAATATTTTCTGGATGGCTGTTTTTCTCTAGTAGATCTCCTTAACGGTGTCTGTGGTAGTGGCTCTTGGGGTGGTTGCTCCCCCTCAATCTCTGGCTCAACATCATCTTCTGCTGCATCATCATGAGGTGTTTGCACTTCCTCATCAATATCATGAACAGCAGAGGGATTGAGAGGATCTAAATCAACAAGATCATCAGTACTAGACTCAGCTGACTCAAGCTTGTCGATGTCTTCAATAGTCTGATCTTCCAAGAAAACAACATCTCGGCTTCTGACAACTTTCTTGTCAACTGTATCATACAACCTGTATCCAAATTCTTCATGCCCATAGCCAAGAAATATGCATTGCTTTGCTTTTGGATCAAGCTTGGACCTTTCATCTTTTGGAATATGAACAAAAGCTCTGCAGCCGAATACCCTCAAGTGATCATAGGAGACTTCCTTCCCTGTCCAAACTTTCTCTGGCACATCACCATTCAACGGAACTGAAGGAGACAAATTGATAAGATCAACTGCGGTCCTCATTGCCTCACCCCAAAAGGATCTTGGCAATTTAGAATGTGAGAGCAAACATCTGACTCTCTCAAAAATGGTGCGATTCATTCTCTCTGCAACCCCGTTCTGTTGAGGTGTCTTTTTAACTGTCTTTTCATGCCTGATACCATGATTTGTGCAATACTGATCAAATGGTCCAATATATTCACCACCATTATCCGAGCGAACACATTTCAACTGTCTACCTGTTTCTCTTTCAACCTTGGCCTGAAAAATCTTAAACACATCTAGAACTTGATCTTTAGTTTTCAGTGTATAAGCCCAAACTTTTCTAGAGTGATCATCAATAAAAGTGACAAAGTATAGAGCACCACCAAGTGTCCTAACTTTCAAAGGACCACATACATCAGAATGTACCAAATCTAAAACATGAGATTTTTAGATGCAATGTTTCTACGGAATGATATTCTGTTTTGTTTACCATGGAAACAATGAACACAAGTTTTCAAAGGCGTACCTTTTATCCCCACTAGAAGCTCTTTCTTGGACAAAACTTGCAATCCTTTTTCACTCATATGTCCAAGCCTTCTATGCCATAAATCAGTGGATGAGTCATTCTCTAAGGTATTCACAACACCCTTGCAGATTTTTGCTTGCATAGTGTAAAGAGAACAAGTCTTCTTTCCTTTTGCTACCACTAGAGAACCTTTGGAGAGCTTCCATTTTCCATTACTGAAATTGTTGATGTAGCCTTCATCATCTAACTTTCCAGCAGAGATTAAATTGAGTCGAATATCTGGTACATGCCTCACATCTCTAAGCAGCAATTTGCATCCAATATTTGTTTCCAAGCAAATGTCACCCATGCCGACAATTTTTGACACATCTTCATTTCCCATACGGACATTCCCAAAATCACCTTGTGAGTAAGAAGTAAAGAAATCAGCCCGCGAAGTAACATGAAATGAAGCTCCAGAATCAATTACCCAATCCGTCTCTTGGCCAATCAAATTAACGCTAGCATCATCACGGATAATCATGAGTTCATCATCGGTAACTACAGCTGTATCAATTTGCTTTTTCTCTGAATTTTTCTCTTTGTTCTGCTCCTTGAACTTGAGTTTTCTACATTCCCGCTTCATGTGCCCTTTCTTGTGACAATAATAGCATTCAACATCCTTTTTTGACATCGAGCTTGAACGACCTCTAGATTTATCACGGTTGTGCGGAACCCTACTCTTACTCCTGCCTCTCCCCCGGTTTTCCATTACAAGTGCCTCGGAGTAAGAAGAACCTGATGATTTTCTTCTTGTTTCTTCATTCAACAAACTGCTGGTAACTTGACTCATTGTTACCACTCCATCAGGTGCGGAGTTACTAACTGTGACCACCAAAGTTTTTCAGCTTTCGGGAAGTGAACTAAGAAGTAACAAAGCTTGCAACTCATCATCAAAAGTAATTTTCATGGCGGCCAACTGATTCACAATGCTCTTAATCTCATTCAAATGCTCTGCAATAGAAGTACCCTCCTTATATTTAGAGTTCACAAGCTTTCGAAATAAAAAGGCTTTATTCACTGCCGTCTTTCTATCATACAAACTCTCCAATTTGGTCCAAAGACCATGTGCAGATTTTTCTGTAGAGACATGATGAAAGACATTATCATCAATCCATTGCCGAATAAAACCGACAGCTTTCCGGTCTAGCTTTTTCCACTCGTCATCTTTCATCCCTTCCGGTTTGCCACTATCACCCTCTATGGGTCCATTCAAATCTTTACAAAATAAAAGATCTTCCATTTTAGTTTTCCAAGTCACCCAATTTGTGCTATTGAAACTAACTATACGTCCAACGTTGCCGTCCATAATTCACACACAGAAATATAACGAATCGGAACCGAATTAACCAATTGCTCTGATACCAGATGTTGGGAAAATAGGCTTTCCCACAAGTGTAAATCAATGGAAGCAATATAAATAAAATAACAGAAAATAAATAAGCACACAAGATTTACATGGTTCCCTCAAATAACTTGAGGTACATCCACGACGACCGGTAGGTCAGTTTCTTCCACTATCACCAAATCAGATTACAAAGTGGCCAAAAGA